AAAATTCTAAACATTTTACAAAATGGAGGAACCTTGAAAATATTATGCTAAGTGAAGTAACCTCATCACAAAAGGACAAATATGGTACAATTCTACTTATCTGAAGTAGCTAGAGTAGTCAAATTCATAGGGATTGAAAGTAAATCTCTCCCTCCTAGGCACTGGGAGGAAGAATGAGGAGTTAATGATTAATGAGTACAGGATACCTGTTTGGAAAGATGAAAGCAGCTTTGGGAATAGATGGTTGTGAATAGCTGTATACAATGCGAATGTACTGAATGCCACTAGTGATATGCAGGACAGTACCCTCCTGTGATGCTGGGCAGTAGTAACAAGCCATAGCTCCCACTTAGCCATGTGATCATGAAGATAGATGGCACTCTGTAGTGTGAGGGAGGGATAGGATTTTTCAATAGTTTAGGTGTATTAAATGCACATTCAACTTGCAATATCGTCAACTCTGATAGTTTTACCAAGTTGTAACCCTGCTATGTGTTGAAGAGCATCTATATTAAAAAATGATGTAAAAAATAGACTATAAAAACGTTTGGTGAAGAATAAGAAACTGGAACCCTAATACATTCTGGTGCAAATGTTTGGGGGTTTTTTGAGGTTTTTTGGGGGTTTTTTGTACCAGAGATCGAACTCTGGTCCTTGCGCTTGCAGGGTAGGTGGCGGAACCACTGAGCTAAATCCCCGGCGGGTGCAAATGTAATATGCTAAAAACACTTTGAAAAATAACTTGGGATTTTTTTAAGTGCTAAACATAGATTTACCATATGACCCAGCCATTCTACTCATATATCCAAGAGAAATGAAAACATGTGTCCACATAAAAAAAATGTATACAAGTGTTCACTTCGGCAGCACATATACTAAAATTGGGACTATACAGAGGAGATTTAGAATGGGTCCTGTGCAAGGACGACTCGCAAATTCACGAAGCATTCCATATTTTTATACTGAATTGTTTCTCTAGTGTGAGAAACAAAGTATAAATGAGGACTAAAATGTATAATAGATATTGTGAAAAAAAGAAGAAAATGTTAAAAGGGGAAGGGGAACTAGGGAGGGGAGACAGGGGAAAGGTAAGAAGTAAAAGAAAAAAAAGGAAATAATGGAAACAAAGCATTTGTAAATAGGGAGGGGTGGAGGGGAGCAAGAGAGGGCAGGGGAATGGGGAAAAATAAGAACCAAGATATAACACGTACAGGTACAAATTCCTGATGAATGTGATCATAATGTACACCTAAACTGTACAAATAAACTCAATTAAAAAAAGAGAAAAAATGTATACAAATTCATAGCAGAATTATTCACAATGGTCCTAAACTGGAAAAAAAATTTAAAATATCTATCAACTGATAAAAAGATAAATAAAATATGGTACAGTAGTCCCCTCTTATTCATGATCTCATTTTTCATAGTTGCTTCCTACAGTCAACCATGGTCTGAAAATCTTAAATGAAAAAATGAACAATTCATAGTTTTAAATCACACACCATTCTTGACTGCATGATTTAATCTCATGCTGCCCCAATTTCACCCCCCCAAATGTAAATTGTCCCTTTCTCCACCAGATCCATGCTGTATATGCGGCCTGCTGTTCAGGTCATCATCAGATCGACTGTTGTGGTATCATGGTGCGCGTGTTCAAGTAACCCTTATTATATTTAGTAATGGTCCCAAAGCACAAGAAAAGTGATGCTAGCAATTATATCATAGTATATTGTTATTGTCATGCCTGGCCTAAGCAAATGGTACAAAGCAAACAGACTGCTTTCAGCAAACAATAGCAGCTTCTCAGTAAGTGGGGCAAATGGACTCAAAATGAAGTATACAACCTCCCTGGTGCCGAGAAGTCCAGTGATTGTGTACACACCTGAGCAGACTGTCCTTTGGCATCCAAATCATAAACCGTCCTTATGATTATAGCCCCTTCCCCAAAATCTATATAGGTATATAGTTTTTCTTTCCTACTAGCTGCTAGAATGTCCCTGATTTTAGTCCCTATTCACTGGAATAAACTTTTCTTTTCCTTACAACAAAAAAAGCCTATTTTATTTTATTTTATTTTAATTTTTAGACCCCATCAAAGCTTAATATTTTTGGGAATCAACAGAATTAACAGAGTGAAAAGCCAACATATGGAATGAGAATATTTGCAAATCATATGGACAAGGGGCAAATCCAGGTTAGACAAAAAACTTCTACAACACAACAAAACCCAAACAATTCAATTAAAAATGGGCAAAGGACTTGGATAGATAATTTTCAAATTATACATACAAATGGCCAACAAGCACACGAAAGGGTGACCAACATCATTTGTGATTTGGATATGGTCTGTGCCCCCAGGTTCTGGACCTCAGTGTGTGGCAGTGTTAACAGGTGGTGGGCTTTTAAGAGGAGGAGCCTAATGGGAGGTCTGTAGGTCACTGGGGGTGTGCTCTCAGGAGGGCATGGGAGGGTCTCTTTCTTGCTTTTTGTCTTACCAGGTGACCCTTCCTGTCACACACACTTCTGTCATTGTGACGCCATCCTCTGTAAGGCCCTGCTGGGGCTGAACACATGGCAGTGCCATACCCTTGAGGATATGAGTGCTGTTTTCTGTGCCCAGAATGGAAAAAGCCTATTTTAAATGAGTGGATTCAAGTGCCGTCTGTAACAGTTATAACTGTTCTATTTTATCATTATTGTTATGCTTGGACTAACATAAATTAAACTTCATTATAGGCATGTGTGTATAGGAAAAAGCACAGCATAGTATATGAGGTTTAGCATACCATCCAAGGTTTCAGGCATTCATTGGAGGTCTTGGATCACATCCTCTACAGATGAGGAAATACTTTATATGCATACAATCAAACAGTATTTAGCCATACAAAAGAATCAAGTACTGACATACCATAACATAGATAAACCTTGAAAACATTATGCTAAGTGAAAGAAGTCAGAACAAAAGACCACAGACTGTATGATTCTATTTATGCGAAATGTCCAGAAAAGGTATATTCAGAGAGAGAGAGAGAATTGATCAGTGGGTTGCCATGACTGGGGAGTGGGAATGGGAAGTGATAGCTACTGGGATGATGGGAATGTTCTAAAATTGGCATGTGGTTGTTACTGGTCTGCTTAGGCTTCCATAACAGAAATTTATTTCTCCATAGTTCTGGAGGCTGAAAGTCCAAAATCAGAGTGCCAACATGGCTGGGTTCTGGTGAGGTCTCTCCAGATTGCTGAGTGCACCCTTCTCACTGCATCCTCATATGACAAGGAGGGAGAGAGAGTAAAATCACCAGGGTCCCTATTTATGAGGACACTAATCTCATCATGGAGGCTTCATCCTCATGACTGCAATCTGAACATAATTATCTCTTAAAGCCCTGTCTCCAAGTTCCATCATCTTATGGGATTAAGTTATGACATATGAATTGGGGGAGAAAACAAATCAGTCCCTAGCAGTGGCAATGGCTACACAACTCTATACAATTCAGTAACTTTTGGTATATTTCCAAGCAAAACATACCTCAGTAATACCTGTTTATTTTTGCAGTACTGAGGATTGAACCTGGTGGTACTCTACCACAGAGCTACATCCCCACCTTTTTAAAAAAATTTTTATTTTGAGATATGGTCTTGCTAAATTGCCCTGGCTGGCCTTGAACTTGTGATCCTTGCATCTCCGCTCGGATTATAGGAATGAGCCACATCTAGCTAAAGCGTTTTTTTTTTTTTTCTAAACAATGAAATCTATTTTAAAAAGAAAACTTGCAGACTATTATGCTAAATGCTTTAAATAAATTATTGCTATTATAACAACCCTGAAAAGTTGCTAATATTATCCCTAATTTATAGATAAGGAAACTGAGGCTGAAAAAGTTAAGCAACTTGCACAATTAGCAAACAAAGCAGAGTTATAACATGGGCACATGCACCCGAACTGCAGAGTTCACATATTCCAGTTTGTGATTTCCTAGAAGGCCCAAGTTAAGGATCCCTTCACAATCCTTTCCCAACAATCTATGCACAGACCACTGTCAGGGTCCATGGGAGACCTAAATAGCTCAAGATTCTCTCTCCCTAGAGACCAACATGTAATATAGAGACTGTATGTGAATAACTAGAATGCAGGCTGGCCAATCTCTGGCTTGGGAAGTAAGAAGTTAACAGATGATATTATTTGAAAATTAAGGTCCATCTCTGCATCTCTCTCTCTGGGCTGCTCTGGAGGATGGACTCAGGAGCCATACTCTGGACAGAAATTGCATCTGTCTGGCAAATTACTCAAATCTCTGTGTGCCTCAGTTTCATCATCTTCAAAGTGGGGATGAGAAGAGAACTTCCTCCGGAGATCTATTAGGTGTTCCCAGCAGTTCTATGAGTTGGATGAGTGCATCAGAATTCCTTCATCATTGTATGTGCAGGACATGTTGTTCCTTGGCTTTGCTACCAAAATGCCTATATGTTCACTTATTTGCCATGGGATCATCTATCAGTGAGATAAACAGTGCCCCACAAAACTTGGCATGCATTTCCAGTGACTCACATGAAATCGAAGCCTGTAGAGGTCATTACAGTCACCTGGTCTAGGCCTTCACTACACAGATGGGACAATTAGACTCTGCAGTGAGAGGTTCAACCATAACCCACCCACATTCTTAGGAAGTCTGTCTAACATGATTATCACACAAATGCTCTTGCCCAGTAAGCTTCTGAGTCCCAACTTCCCCCAAGAAATCTGTCCATCTGTCTAAAAAGTAGGTAAGAAAAAGCCACAATATGATTTTTAATGACTGTCAAATGCAAATTTCAAGTTATACTATTTGAAAGACAATAACGAAAGTATTCTTAAATCTTTTCCTTTCTCCTCAAACTCCTAATCCCTGGACCAAAACCCAAGTCTCTGAAAGCACCAACCAAATACAACAGATTCACAGACAATGGTTCAGAGATAGGCTACTCCCAGGGAATGGCTACAGCAATTTTCGTTTTGTTACCTTGGTAACTGCTACCTTGGCGCCCTTGTTGATGAGCTGAACCACATTCTCAGCTTGGCCTTTGTATGCAGCTATGAGAAGGCGTTCTGAAAGTGCAGCGACCACATCCTGCTGGCTCATGAATTGAGAGAAAGAGGTTTTCTGGGAAAGCAGTGGACAAGTTCCTTCAGCTCAACACAAAGCCACTGGCTTGGGCTGGCACCCACAGGTAAAGATGTTCTCATTCATTGGAAGGTGATTTATTCCTATGCCATCTTCGCCACCTAAGGGTTACAAAACAAAGCTGTCATCAGTGCTACTTGCCACAAAGGACAGACCATACCTTGTCTCTGATTTTAGGGCATTCTGCCAGATGCACAATGCAGGAGAGGAAAGCACACTCTCCACAGCAAAGCCCCTGGACAGAGCTTCCAGGAAGAAGGCAGCAGAGGGTGCCAACCTCTCTCTGTTCTTCCCTCCTCAAGGACATTCTCCAGAGGAGTTATGGCCAGGTCTGCAAAGTTGGCTCTGCATTTACTATATGTCCTGGGTAGAAGACACTTGATACCATCCCTCAGATACCACCTGGTTCACACACCACCTCTATCTAGTAACTGTGGCATGCATGTTCACCACAGCCTACAGACAAGGTTTTATGGGTCACCATAGCTCATGCACTGATTGCCCAAGCAGGATGGATGGTGGTGGATCACACCTCACAGAGACCCTGACACATGGGGTGTCTTCTCTGTGTGGTTTTGTTTTGTTTATTGTACTGAACATCAAACCCAGGGCATAATAAAGCTAGGCAAGCTATACCCCCAGTCGACCCTTGGAGCTTTCTCCCAGCAATTATTGCCGTTCTCTTCCTTCATCCTTTCCTTCCTGTAAATAGTACAGTTTCCTGAGTTCTGGAACAGATGGAGAACAGGGCACAGGCCTGGGCTGACTTCCACTTCCACACTGCTCAAATAATCCCCTTTGGAAGAACACTGATGCTAAGCGTGTGCTCTGCCAGTTTAGGAGGGGCAGTTTGCATTGCTTCCTTGCATAATGGGAGGAAAATGAATGGCCCTCTGAAACCACCTACAGGAGGACACAAAGCCCTGACTCTGAGCACTGGTTTGGAAGTAGTAACTAGTAGTAAACTTAAGACCTTCTTTCAAAAACAAATGACTGGACTGGGGATTTAGCTCAGTGGTGCCGCTGCCTGCCTCGAAAACGCAAGGTCCCGAGTTCGATCCCCAGCACCAAAAAACAAACAAACAAACAAAATGACCAAAACTGATAGGATTTTAAAGACTGATTTCTGTCAGTGGCCCTACCACCATTAGACCAAACCAAAGGCATTGGTAATGTTTCAGAGCCAAAGGGTTCTTTGAGCAGAACAAATGCTTACATGTCTAATCCACTCCTGCTAGGAGAACAAGGAAGTGAGGACTTCTTTTGTATTTTTAATATTATTTTATTTTTGCAGTATGTGAACCCAGGGCCTTGTGCATGCTCTACAAGTACTACCACTGAGCTATACCCACAGCCTTTTGAGACAGGGTCTTACTACATTGTCCAGGCTAGCCATTAACTTGTGATCCTTCTGCCTCAGCCTCCTGAGAAGCTAGGATTACCACCATATATGATGTCTCTGTATTTCAAAATGTACTTATTAAAAATACTAGTATATACATGTGGAGAAAGTGCTATAACAAAAGAATATGGTTTTTTATCCTGGACCGCATCACTCATTCTAATTTTGAAGCCCTGGGAGATGTAAGCATCTTCTACAGTTGTTTTCAGGCAAACTCAATGATCTTTTCAATCTCTAATGACTAAGGAATTGGCCACAATATGGCTGGGAAATGTATGGACCATATTGAGCTCTAACTCTCAGTCACTGTGACATTCAGGCAGTTCATCTGGCCAAGGACTCCAGGAGAATGGGGTTAAGTGCCCATGTACAGAACAGACATGGAGCATCTCTCTTCCAGGACTGTGGTGGGAATTAAAAATGCTATTTCATTATGCAAATTGTTGAAACAATGTCAACAATAACTTTACAAGGGTAACTTGCACCCCTTTCACTTGTGGGTTCTTTTCCTTCTTTTTCTTTTAAATCTTTCACCCAAAATGTAGGTAAAGGAGAGCAAGGAGAGGAGACCTGTTCCTGCTCACCAGGCTCATTAGAAGCACAGCAAATCTGGAGAAAGTGATTATGTGAAGCAGAGGATACCTCAGTTAGCTGCAGTCTGAGATCCCTGGATATGCCAGAAATATCTCCTGAATGAATGAGCCAATGAAAGAAGTTGAGACTCAAAATACTAAGAGAAATGCAGCTCAAAATGCTTTTCTAAGTGCCCATGGCCATGCTGAACAATTACATTTGGGGCTTTCTATTCCCTAGACTATTTGGAAGTGGTTTGTTTTTATCAACATAAGGCACACTGTCTCTTTTTATTCAGATAATCTGAGGTACAACCAAACCAACTATACTGAGCTTCTGCTCTGTTTGCCCAAATACTGCAAAATCACTCTAAGCCCAAATGCAGGAAAATACAGTGTTAGCTAGGACTTCCTAAATGATCTCTCTCACACAACCACATTCTTCCTCTTCATCTACCCATTTGTTATCTCTCTACACTTGGCCACAGTTCTGGGAGAGAGATTCGTTATATCTGTACATCCACCCTCTTCCATTCCCGAACCCTTTGACAGTGGGCATTTAAGTGTAAGGGCCCAATTCATACAAATATTGTTTTGGCTAAAATTCTACTCATTCTACTCTCCAGCTTAGCTCCTAGGGTAAAGATTTCTGCTGCAACTTCAGTGCAGACCCAGCTGAAGTCATGAGCTCCAGACCAACAGCACTCAGCCTCCTCAGCAACAGATGCAAGGTCTACCCAGCTTTTGATAAAATGATAGCCACTCTCTGCTCATCCTCCTCAGTCATGCAACAAATTCAGCCTCTCAGATACTGAATCCAAAGCCCAAGTTGTCTTATGGCCATAGCTGCAGACTGATAGACTTATTTAGATAATTACTGAGATAAATATCCTTTGCAAGTCCAGCCAATATTCCTTTAAAAAATAAAACAAAAACACTACAGCAGTGAGAAAATATTGGCTAACTACATGCCATCTTATTTTTTGCTTTTCAGCTATAGCTATTAAAGAATACTCTTTACCTCCTCCTTATGACCACAACAAATATAGCCAGAAAACAGCTCCCAGGACAGGTTGCTTACACAGGATTTGGGATACCCACCACCTCATCAGAGTTGCCCCAAAAAGCTGCCTGCAAGATCAGCAATAGGATCTCAGGTTTCCAGTTCCTAGTCTGTTGCCAACATCATCCCTATATACTTGTCCATCCCAAGCTCATTCTCAATTTAAGCCTAGGAATACTGTCATTGCTAGGACCTCCAGCATCACTTGCAGTTGCCTTTCTACACAGTGTGGGTGCAAAGGGATCACAGAAGCAGAGTCTTCTCTGGTTTCATTCTGTTTCCTCCTGTACCCTCTTTCGGAGTGAGAGGATAATCTGCTTCTCATCTGACATCTAGAAACCAACAAATCAGGGCAGGCAGAGACAGGCAATGAGAAAAGGGCTAAGAAGGGATGGAGAACCCCTGACCATGAATGGGGAGGATAGAGGAATACAAGGGTGGTGACTAGTTTGTAGTCAATGAGTTAAACTTTACTGCCAACCTGTTGGGAATCCCAGCTGCAGCAGACCTATTTATTCCCTCCTTAAATCTGAGCATCCTTTTCCAAGTAGATGGCTATCATTCAAGACACTTCCCATTGCTGGTACTGAGGAATTTCTTCCTCCCCACCTGTATTAATCACATCCCTCTTTATCACAGTGCTCATTTTTCACAGCATCCTGGAGGAAAACATTAGATGCAAACATGCTGCTCATTCATTAACCACAAAGGAAATAAATATGTGAGCATAAGTATGCAATGAGCACCCTGCATCTAGAAAGGATTTAGCTTCCTAAGAAAGATTACTCTCTTCCCTCCCACCCCACTACCTCATTTTCTTTGCTCTTCATTTTGCCAATCCTTTTATCTCTCACCCCAAATGCCACAGGGTCACACAGCTGTTTTGATAGGTTTTATTTTTACAGCAAAAGATCTATACAGTTTGTTTTTGCTATTTTCCTGTAGATTTACAACAAAGTCTCCTGGTGCCAATATCCCAAAGCCACTACATTCAGGCTCCTGACAGACAAAGTATTTTAGATGAAACCTTCAAACAAAAGTCCCAGATAGGGATAACACACAACCCACCCAGAGACAGCCTGCAGACACCCAGGAGCTGGTGGTTAGGGACCGTCCCCAGTCATAACAACCAGCTTTGCTCCCACTGCTCCAAATCCTGCATTGAAAACATTATACTCACATCTGGGGGTCTGTCCTTCCTGTTCTACATCGTGTTCTGTTTCTGGACAACTGCAGTTAATTCTTTCCTGGCGAGATCATTAGCTTCCTAGGACTGTCACTGCCGGTGGGTCTGCAGTGATTTATGGTACAATATTTTCAGCCTTTTCTCCTTTAGTCTCCTCTGCCGATGCCAGCCAAATCACATCTAAAAGCTCATTAAGACACCCATTCAGCGCCAGTGTTTTGTGGCTTGCCAGTCTGCTCCTCACTGCTCCTGAGAAAGTGTTGGGTCTTCAGATTTTTGTTGGACTGCTCCCTCCCACCAGCAGAGGACCTGTAACACTCCCCTGATTGGAGATCAGAGAACAATTCACAGATCTGTACAGCATTTCTGAATGATGCTCAGTGACAGAGAAATGAAGTTTGTATTCTTTCAGCAGCAATGTAAGAAAAGATGAATGTGTATGTTGTAAAGGAGGGAGGATGCAGGAAGGGTGAATTCTGTACTAAATCCTCCTCAAATACAGTTAGGGAGATGCTCATTTTGTGGGAGCAGCAAGTGCAGACATGCCACCCTCCTGGGCAGGAACTTCCTGCGGCAGCACAGGAGGCAGCAGCTGGCTGAGCAGCCATCCTTGGCGACTGTAAATCCAGTTTTTCCTGCAAACTCGCCTCTACACTGTCTCCACAGGGGGAGTAGGGAAAGAGAAAGTGGGGAGCTAAGCCCCCAAGAAGCTGTTATAAATACTTCCAGTAGCTCTAAACACCCCAGGTATGCCCTTCTGGCTCACTTATTGAAGCAACAGGAACTTCCCTCCTG